GTTCATACATGACAAAGCAAATCATAGCAAAAGCCATAGAAAAACTTGATATCATTAAGAGCAATGAAAAAGGGTTCGAGAAAAATTCTCTATGGGTCACAAAGAGGTGAGATCCTTCTCCTTTAATCGAAACAAGCAACTAAATATAATAAGTGAAAGAGATGAATGCCTTAAAAACTTTGTGAAGATCTTTTTGTTTTGAAGAATGGCGTTGAGAGCATGATAATTTTCGTGGCCTCTCTGCTGCTTTTATAGGTAGAGAAGTCGGCTAGGACATATTCCAAAATATTTAGGAGATTTTCTTCAAAAAAAAAATTCCCTTTTACTCGGATGAACTTCTCCATTAAAAACTAGGGGCTCGCGTCCGATCGATCGCCTGTAGGTGTCTGATCGAATGCGGGTGAATATTTTAAACTGCCTTTTAACTTGCTTTTTACTCTCACAGATTTCAGTAGATCAACGATATTTCAATATCTAACCGTTGGATTGTGGCGATCAAATATCCAGTTTGAATCTGATATCCTCCTCTATCTCGTGACAAAATTTGAGCTTGCTCCGACGGTGGAAACATCTCCATATGAAGTGAAACATCCAACGGATAGGATCTATCTTTTCTTAAAAATGCTTGATTTCCCCCTTTTTTTTGCCCAACTTGCTCTAATTTCATGTATAAACTTCAAAACCCACAAAAATACTAAAAATAGCTTTTAAAACCCAAAACTTATTCATTTCTTTATTAACAACCTATTAAAAATATAAGACAACGGATAAAATATCATATATACCAGGCACGTGTAGGAGTTGTGGTAATTAAGGGTAGATTAGGATTAGTTAGATTGTGAGACGGGAATGACCGTCTACCTGTACTCACCCTTTACCAGACTTGCAAGATACGTGATCTGGTTAGATGGACCATAGAATGGCGAAGGAGGAGGAAGCAGCAAGCGAGAAGGAAAATACTTTCCCAATGCGTGGTGGTGTTGTACCCTTTATATTGTATATTTTAGAACAATGTACTAAGAAATTTGTGAGCAATAAAATATACGAAATTTTCTAACTTTCAGGCATAGATTTTCTGGTCCGTTGAATCGGATGTTACACGAATACCTCTTTTACAAACTTTTATGATCCCTTTATATCAGTTCAAAAATTATATACAACTAGAAAAATAAATTATTCAAAAAAAACACTGGCCAAGCTCCAATACCAATAGAGTTTAACGACAAAAAACCTTTGAAAACCATACGTAAAACTAGTAAACCATCGACCTAGAGCCGGATCTCATTAATATGAAACTTTAGAATGGTCCTCCCAACTTGTAGGGTCACATTTTTTTTAAGTCGAATTTATATATGAATTAATTAAAATATGATAAAAAATGAAAATTTAGTGAGATTGTAAACTATTTTTTTGTTTGGATCTAATATTTTATGAGATTATATGTTAAAAGACTAAAAATGTTAAATAGGTTTTTTTCATAATTTTATTTTACAAAAGAAGATATGAATCTAGTGTTGTTATAAAAATCAGACTTTTAAAAAAAAAAGTTATTTATATTAAATGTTGGTTATTCTTTTTAGTATAGGGTCCGAAAATCTCATATCCGGCTCTGCAGCAATCTTCATATCTAGCGACACCGAAATCTCCGAGGTAAACAGAACCCATCAGATTTGAGACACAAAATCCTCAACCAAAGACTGCCTCAAAGCAATTTCGCTAAAACCACTACGCATTCAAACCGGGATAAACTAAAACTGAGAATAAAGCTATGGAGGAGGATAAAGGAGAAAGAGAACAGCCGAGGATCGGTCAAAAACCTTGAAATATATCGAGGGTTACTGCAGAGACAGGAAGCAGTGATTAATTATCTATTCAATTAAGCAATGTGTTTTATGAATTTTTTTACAGTATTTTAATAGATTAGGTGGGAATAAACCAAATATTTTTGGACTTACATACTCAGATCAAATAGGGCCAGACCGGCCAGTCTGGTTCCATTTAACACTCACTCAAACCTTGTATTGTATAATATAAAATCGATTTCTTGTAACTTTTACACGCACCTTTGTATTTTCTCGAGGAATTAGATTAGATTAATGTGTAATCATACTACTCTTCTACTAATAAGGACAGAAAAGAATACATGGCACATGCAATCCACGCCACTGAACCACTAACCTAACCACCCCCCAACAACGGTTCATTCACAAATTTTCCCAAGCTAAATATATAGGGGTCTTCTTGGGAGGGACAATCATCACAATCTTAAAAACTTCTTAGCAAGAAAAGAAGAAACACAAAAATACTTTGAAACACAACAAAAAATTCCTTCTTTTGGCTCTCTTTGGCAGCTTTAAATTTATTTGTTCTGTTTGTTTCGACAATTTGGGAAAATAAATGGGATCAAAGTTTCATGCTTTTATGTTTCCATGGTTCGCTTTTGGTCATATGACTCCGTACTTGCATCTAGCCAACAAGTTAGCTGAAAAGGGCCATAGGGTTACTTTTTTGATCCCTAAGAAAGCTCAGAAACAGTTGGAACACCACAATCTGTTCCCAGAGAGCATCTTCTTTCACCCTCTTACTATTCCTCCTGTTGATGGCCTCCCTGCTGGCACCGAGACCGCCTCGGATATCCCCATCTCGTTGGCAAATTTATTGTACGTAGCCATGGATCTTACACGCGAGCAGGTCGAAACCGCGGTACGTGCTTTGAGACCGGACCTGATCTTGTTCGATTTTGCATACTGGGTTCCGGAAATGGCTAAAGAACATAACGTCAAGAGTATGATGTACAACGTGGTTTCCGCTACCGCTATAGCTCATACACTTGCCCCAGGTGGTGAATTAGGAATTACTCCACCAGGTTATCCTTCGTCAACAGTGGTGTATCGTGAACAAGATGCTCACTCCTTGTTGTCTTTATCCATCTTCTACAAAAAGCTGTATCAGCGGCTCAACACAGGTCTTATGAACTGCGATGTCATTTCAATTAGGACATGCGGAGAAGTTGAAGGTAAGTTCTGCGATTATATCGAGCGTCAATTCAAAAGGAAGGTACTCTTGACGGGTCCAATGCTTCCTGAGCCAGAAAAGAGTAAACCACTTGACGATCAATGGAGTCACTGGCTGAGCCGGTTTAGATCGGAGTCTGTAGTGTTCTGTGCACTAGGCAGCGAAGTCATTTTAGAGAAGGACCAATTCCAAGAACTCTGTTTAGGAATGGAGCTCACGAATTTACCATTTCTTGTAGCGGTAAAGCCACCAAAAGGAGCAAAGACGATTCAAGAAGCATTACCAGAAGGGTTCGAGGAAAGGGTGAAGAATCGTGGAGTGATTTGGGGAGAATGGGTGCAGCAACCATTGTTATTGGCTCATCCATCAGTAGGCTGCTTTGTGAACCATTGCGGGTTCGGATCAATGTGGGAGTCTCTACTGAGTGATTGCCAAATAGTCTTGCTTCCATATTTAAATGATCAAGTTCTCAACACTAGACTGATGACTGAAGATTTCGAGGTTTCAGTGGAAGTGCAAAGAGAAGAAACAGGATGGTTCTCCAAGGAGAGCTTGAGTGTTGCAATCACTTCTGTGATGGATAAAGATAGCAAGATCGGGAATCTGGTGAGGAAGAACCACGCCAAATTGAAGGAGATTCTAGTTAGTCCTGGATTATTAACCGGTTACATCGATAAGTTTATAGAATCACTCCAGAATCTTGTCAAGGATACAAAACCTTGAATGAAAAGAAAACTTGATGTGATCAAATAAGGTATATGAAACTAGACTACCACGTAGTTATTGGTTTCTTGTGTTTATTCAATAACGGAATTCTTGTTTCTCATTCTTCTATGCTCTTATAAGTTATAACCATAATAAAACATGAAGAAAAATCATTTCTCCTTTCAATTCCCACACAAACTGTATAAGCGAATGAAGAAAAATCATTTCTCTTTTTAATTACAGATTTGAAATCTATGTTGACCACAAGAAACCGATTAAATGAAGAAAAAACAAAGACAAGAGTGATATATTGGAATCTTGTCTGTGTGGAAACGGAATCAGACCCATGAGGTTGATGAAGTACCATGTCCATTGCTAGCGAAACAAGCGTAAAGTTCGTCAAAGACCACCACTTGATCAGCATGACCTTCTTCACAAGAACCAAGATTAGAATTATCCACAGGAGAATCTTGATTCGTGAACAGAGCAAGCTGATTCCTCGATCTGTTTAACTCATCTTGGAGAAACTGCACTTGATGTTCTAACTTTGCCTTGTCGGAAAGAGCTGTTTCTAGCTTGGACTGGAGGGTTCCATGTTGGAGCTCGAGAGACTGAGTCTTGGACCTGGCTCGCTTGTTCTGAAACCAGACTGAGACTTGTCTCTGAGGTAGACCTAGCTGGTTCGACAGTTGAAGCTTGAGATCTGGCTCAAGTTTCTTGTTCACAGTGAAGCATTTCTCCAATTGTCTAACTTGCTCTTGTGTTAGCCTCTTTTTCTTGTTTTTGCTCTGAGACTGAGAATTCTCCATTTATTCCCTGTTTGTGTATTTTGCTTTCTTGTGCTATGTACAACGTCGTGGCTACGGCTATATATACATACAAACGCACTCACATCTTAAGCATTTGGGATCTTCTATATAAAATACAATAAAGAAAATTAACTCAAATTTTGTATTCATTTTGTGTCCGGATTCAAACTTTCTTATCAACTCTCTTTGAGACGGATGATTATTTTTTAAATCGTAATATATACTGATAACTTCGGATACCGAAGAGATTATGGACCAAAAATTCGGAACTCTCACGGTTTTTGTCAAAAAACAAAAAAAAAGCTTTATATTCATACGAAATTACTCAAATTAGTTTCTTGGTTTATAAATTTACCTTTATGTAAGTAAGAGATTGCGATGCATGTAGTAATTTTTTAAAATCCGCTAAACCTACAACAGAATAATCGTATGGAAAATGGCAATTGAAGAAATTTATTGAATGATCACTATCTTGGGGATTTCCTATAGTAGTTAATAACTTATGCAACTCTATTCTTGTATTGAGGTGCATGCATGGATTATTCAGGTGGCAAGTTAATAGAAATTTGTACCAATTGAATCAAATCTACGATTAAGAAGCGTTAATGACATTGAAATTATCAAGACAATTAAACTGTTGAGAATCAGTAATATAAAAGCATTAACAAAAAAAATTGCATGGAAAGATTAACACAAGCAAGATAGGAGGCGGTTTATTTGGAAGAGGTCATTCAGGAATCAAAGCTTTGGGGCCCAAAAGCCCAACTAGCTGTTCTTTATGGACCCACTGTACTATTCAAAACTCAAAAGAATGAATTAGAAGTTAGAGAAAATCAGATATTCTGATTTATTAATTACTATAAATTAGTTGATTAACAAGCATTTTTCTCATATACATGCATGTATTCACGTGGGCTGGTTGTATCGTACCCACTTAGATTTAATAGCATTATCATCTAAACATATTATTAATTAAATTATCTATTATACTTTTTTTTTAATCTATTATACTTTCCTTTGTTCTTTTCGGGACAATGCATCTTGTATTCTTGTCTTGCGAGTTCTTCCATTTTCAGTTTGGAGTTTGCATATCAGAATCATTAAGTACTTTCTGTGGGAGATCCAAGTTCTAAAATAATTTATTGAGATGAAAAGAAGTTGGCTTAAAGAGCTTTTATT